CCCCTCAAAAGTCTGATTCCGATTCGCTTACTCTATACGGAAGGCTTGGATGGCCCGGGCGGGCGGAGCGGATTTTGATCTATAGCGTCATAGGCGGGCCACTTGTTGTGGCATCACCTGCGCCCCCTTGAAAAATAACTAATTTTTATCACACTTCAGCTATTATTGCTCAGTTTTTGAACGTCTGAGTGAGAATGTTAGTCCCCATGGGTAGTTAGTAGTTTTGCACGAAACCGCTTGGCGCACAGGCGCCACCACCGTGGGCCTGTTTTGACGGCAGTGGCTCTAGAGCGGATCCCAAGTGGTTTCGTACCAAATGCTGAGGCTATTGAGGGAACACGGCTGTGCAGGGGGTCAAGCTACCCCAGGGATTAAGTTCTCTGCAAATTTGGTGGTTTGAGGTAGTTCGGAGGCAGCGTCAGGTTCTCTCAAGACGATCGCATGTAATGTTCGTGTTAAGGGGTCAAACTACTTCTGATTGACAAGTTTTTTCTAAGAAAGCGAAAGGGGCCGATTCGAGGGGGTGATGGGGAAGTGATTTCGTGGAGTATCGTGACCGAGGGTATACAAATAATGAGCATTGAGTGAAGTGCTAGGACAATCCACGCACTCGTATCAGACCTTCACATCCTTGACTCCCTGTGGCTTTCGGGTGGTATGTCAGTACTGGTTGTGAAAACCTCACACGATGTAATGATTGGCTGGAGTTTTGATGGATTCACCTTTTCTATAATCTTCAACGATAGAATTCCAGTGTTGATAGTCTTATCCAGCCCTACCTGGCCTTTGGCCCCATGCAATTCATCACTAAGCCAAAGACTTGTCAGCGTTTTATGTCATTACAGAGTGGTTTCTGTTGCTAGGCGTTCATTTTCGTTGAAATCCAAGAGCATTTTGTCCCAGTGAACCGTTCTGATTCCAAAGAATCTAGAAAACTACATACTGATCCATCATGACTCCACTTTATCACGATTTTTTTCCTAACATTTTATCATTGTCTCTTTTCTTCCATCAAGTGTAGGCATCGTTGGGAGAATCCATCAGGGAGGTCGTACTCGGTCGCCGGGTGGAGAGGAATGAGGGGTAGAGAAGCGCTTAATTTGCCTCTGAAGGAAAGTTCTCGAGAAAGAGGAATAAGGGGTAGA